GGCAGGGTCTGGAAGCCCCTTGCTTTGTGGAGCTCTCTCTCATGGGGTGAGTCATGGCCTCTGTCATCTCCTTCATTCATTTGGAAATTGCTTATTTCAAGTGCATCTCCTGCCAGCTTTTTATGTCTCAAACATTCTCTCTACTGTGATTTTCTGTAGTTATGTAATCACTTGTCTGTTTTCACGAATGACTCTTTTTATGTTCTCTTTTCCTCTAATCCTTACATGACCCTGAGGTGCTCTGGGATTCAGCTACCCGCCCCCAAAACCACCAGCCCCCTGAACTGGAGACTCCCCACTGGCCCCTGGGCCCCTCCTGCTCCCCACTCTCCTGAGGTGGTTCCACGTCTCTTTCTTGGAGTCTGGAATCCTTAGCTGAGTCTTGTCGGCCCTGCTTTCCCAGGGCCTTGCACCCCTGCCCTGGTCAGTCTCTGTGTGGAGGGCGTGGACTTGCCTAGGGGCAGTGGGAGGCCTCAGGAGGATGCACTATGTGATGGGGAGCATGTTCCTTCCCAGAGGCTGCCACACGCACTCCCTGGCCCGCTTCCCTCAGACAGGTCCTCAGTGGGGTCTGGTGACTCTGCTTCCTTTCCAGAATCAGGCCTCATGGGGCACTGGCTGGGATCCTCAGTGGACCTTCAGGGGCCAGAGAGCTCTCTGCGGCCACACCCCCTGTCCTCACTGCTCTGGGTGACTGACCAGTCATAGACAAGCCATTGCTGGTCACAGCTGTCCCATGGCCCCAGGCCCAGAGGAGGATTTTGTCTAGCATGAACTTTGGAGGAAGGGGGCTAGGTAGTGTCTGCTGGGAAGGCAGGGCACCTGAGGTCAGAGACCAGGGTCAGTGACTTCCCTGAGTTCAACCCCCTCCACCCTTACTCAGGTCCACCCAGCCAATGTTCAGAGTTCAGAGGTGGGTGCTCCTCATAGGGGCCTCTGGGCTCCCAGCTCAGCCACGGTGAACAGATCAGGGAAGACATCTGGGTCAGGACACTTTAGCTCTCAGACACCACAGCATCCTCTGTATCTGGCCCCCGAAGGGCTCTACCTGACCGTCCTGTGAGAATGACATCCCACCCCCTCTCTCCCTAACACCCGCAGGGCCGCAAGCTGGTGCAGCTTTGCCCAAAGGCTTAGTCACTTTGGAGCTGTGGGCCAGCCTTCATGAACTAAGGGCCCAGCCCTGAAGAAGGACACAGTCTCACTATGGCCCACCCCCCTATTTAGAAGACTTCCAGGGAAGCTGGAGGGGGGCCAGGCGGTGGCAGGGAAGGGAGGCTACCATTGTTCTCCATGTGAATATGAAGTATTAGTTTCAGTGTGGACAAGCATGTTCAGAAATGATGAAACAGTTGGGAAACTATTTTATTGTTCTTCATGGAGTTTGATGAACTGTTTGAGAACATTCGTTCTTGGGAAGCAGGACGTGTGTGTGTGTGTGTGATAAAGATAAATATGTGGACAATCAGGAGAACAATGGAGATCTGGGAGCCCCGGGAGGAGCCTGAGTCACAGTGTCCCCCATCACCCTGGACTGTTCCAAGGGATTGAACTCTCCTGCCCCTGCCTTGGGATGAGTCTGGAATGGAGCATCCAGTGCCGAAAGAGAGGGGGTAGTTGGGGAGATACATATGTAGGTGGTGGAGTTTCTAGAAAGTCAGGAAGATCTGACAAGCAGGGGTCAGAGGATGGAGGTGCTCTGGCCGAGGGAGTAGACCTGGAAGCTGGGGAGCAGGGCTAGTACCTCAGGGCCACCCAGGAGGGAACACGTCTGAGGGTGAAATTTGCTGGGTGCTTTTTCCCCACGGAATAGCTCTATCCAGCGAGTGTTGCCAAATTCCTTCCCTTCTGGGTCATCATCCTCTTAGGTGGCTCCTAACTTCTCAGTAAAGTCTCAGACAGGCAGCCTGCTTACGTGGTGAAGTATGGACAGAAGTCAGGTCAGCGCTGCTGGAGGGCTATGAGCTTTGGTGGCTCGCCTGGCCTCTGTCCGGGTGACCACAGCTCATGTGGTCCTGGATGCAGCTAGCCGCAGGGACAGTGATGTTCCCTGGAGCAGTGGACAGCAGAGGACAGTATGGATGTTGCTTGCTAGAAGGTACATAGTTCTCCATGAGGTCCCCAGCACCTAGACAGTGCTGAGCACTGTTAACCTTAAAAATAAAACTGTCAGTTATTTTACCAGCAAAAATGGGTTTACTCTGGAATAGTAGAGAATTCAGGGACAAGCACGCTACAGCAAAACCATAGGCAAGTCCCCAGAACAAAGGGGAGAAATTCTCTTTTATAGAGGAAAGAGAGAGTTGGGAGGGTGGTTACAAACAAAAAGTCCATGGAAGGAAACTGGGAGCTGGAAGTGGCTTCTCATGGGCTGAGCTGTGACTGTCTCTCATTGGCTGGTCTGTTGCCAACTTGTCTTCCTGTGGCTGGGATGGTAAAATAGTATCCATGCGCAAGGTCCTTCTGTTCCTGTTGGATCTGCAATTGATAACCAGTGCTGGGAATGAGAGCTCCTCCTGCTGGCCTCCTGATTCTATATGGTGAACCATGTTCCCTTTTATTAATTTTCATAGCACACAGCAGTGATTCATTGAACGCCCGGATACATCTTTAGGACTATCTTCACCGCATACATATGAATATCCAATTAGTATATGAAAAGAGTTCAAAATCACAAATCACTAGAGAAATGCAAATTAAAACCATAATAAGATATTATACCACGACAAGAATGACTGAAGTTAAAAAGACTGAACTAAAAAAAAAAAAAAAAAAAAAAAAAAGACTGACCTATCACATCTTGGCAGGAATAGGAAGCATCTAGAAATCACATACATTGCTGGTGGGAATGAAAGATGATGCCACCAGTTTGAAAACATGGTAGCATCTTGTAAAGTTAAACATATTCTTAACATACAACCCAGAAAAGCCACTCCTGGGTATTTATCCAAGAGAAAGTGCGTAAGGGACAGGTGGGGCTAGGTAGGGAGAGAGAGGGGTGGGGTACATGACCAGGCTCACGGAAATGCCAGATACGGAAAAATGCTGAGGCGTAAGAAACCAGAGATAAGGGAACATAACCAGACCACCTCCTTTGTCTCAAATGTCAGAGACGAGATATTTTTATGACAGTTACAGACTGACCATTAAAAGCTACGAAACTTCAAAGGAGAGGTAAACATGGTGCTATCCGTAGTAGAAGCGTCAAGATTTCAGTTCCCTGGTCAGTTTTCAATAAAAGACCGACCATAAAAGCCCTCAGTGGCAACGCACTCGGGACCCCTCTCGCTCTAGAAAGTTTTCCTTTCTGTTCTTACCTTCACTTAATAAGCTTTCACTTCACTTCACCCTTTTGTGTCCGAGAGATTCATTCTTCGGCTCTGTGAGACAAGAACCTTGCAACTGCAACAAAAGGAAAACTATGTTGGCACAGACTTTATGTGAATGCTCTCAGCAGCGTTATTCATAGGTAATCAAAACTCAAAAGCAATCCAAGTATCGATAACCTGGTGAATGGATAAACAAATTGTATTGTGAAACACTACTCAGCTACAAAAAGGAATGACATATTAATGTATGCAGCACCATGGATGAATTTCAAAATCATTATAAGAGAAAGAATTAAACACAAAAGACTATGTAGTGTATGATTCCATTTATATGGAACTCTGGAAAAGGTAAAATAATAATGACAGAAAGCGGATCAGTGGTTGCCTGGGGCTGGGGTGAAGGAGGAGATAGATTGCAAATGAGTAGGAGGAAATATTTGAGGGAGCATGAACTGCTCTATATCTTGGTTGTGGTGGCAGTAACATAAATACATCAACCAGTATACTTAAAATAGGTGAGGCTTTTCGCATATAAATAATAACCAAATATAAATTTTAAGTTAAAAAACCCCCACAGCTAGATAGATACATCATGGGCAAATTTACAAAAACCAATGATAAGAAAATCTTGAAGGCAACCAGATACATAGAACAAAGGACTAGAGCAGACTTCCCTTCAGAAACTATGTAATCCAGAAGCCAGTGGAGTAAAATCTGTAAAGTACTGAAAGAAAAAAAAAAGTTAACCCGGGCTTGCATACTCTGTGAAACAATCTTTCAAATGTGAAGTTGCAATAAACACTTTCAGACAAAGGAAAGGTGACAGCACTCATCACCAGCTGACCTTTGCTAAAAGAAAGGAAGTTCTTCAGACAGAGGAACATGATGCCACATGGAAATTCGAGTCTATGCAAAGAATGAAGAACATTGAAAACGGTAAAAATAAATGTAAATAAAAGTTATAAAGATACAATTACAAGAGCGAAATGGATGAAGGGGGTCAAAAGGTGCAAATTTCCAGTTATAAAGTAAGTAAGTCATGGGGAGATGAGGTACAGCATGGTGACAGTAGTTAACAATATTCTGTCACATGTTTGAAAGTTGCTAAGAGTACACCTTAAAAGTTCTCATTACAATAAAAACTTTTTGTAACTACGGTGGTGGATGTTAACTAGACTTATTGTGGTCATCATTTTGCAATATATACAAATATCAAATAATTATGTCGTACACTTGAAGCTAATGTTCCATATGTCAATTATTTGTCAATAAAAAAAGATTTAAAAATGCAGGGGCAATCAGCATCTTTTTATAAAAAAAGAACCAAAACCAGGTCACAAGGCTTCCAAATTGCTGGAAGGATTTCTGCAGTGAGCCAGTGCACGGTGGGTGGAAGACAGGTGGACGGAATCACGGACACCTGGTAGAAGAATAAGGGCGTGGCTTGGTCCCGGTTGCCAGGCGCGGGCAGGACGTTTGGTCTAGATCTCTCGCAGCGCGCGCGGCGGGCAGGGGCGAAGCCAGGCGCTGCGGCGCGTCCGTTGCTAAGGCCGCGCCGCCCTGGCGACGGGCGCCGGCCGTCCCGCGCACGCGCCGTGGCCGACTCCGGTGCACTGTGGGATGGGAGCCCGAGCGGCGCGTAGAGGCCGGGGAGGGCGGCGGCGGCGGCGGGGCCGGCGGCGGCCGGGGAGCGCGGCTTAGGCTCTGCCGGCCGGCGGGGGCGCGGGCCGCGCCGCCATGAACGCCGCGGTGGTGAAGCGGACGCAGGAGGCCCTGGGGAAGGTGATCCGGAGGCCTCCGCTGACGGAGAAGCTGCTGAGCAAGCCCCCGTTCCGCTACCTGCACGACATCATCACCGAGGTGGGCGCCGTGCCGGAGGCCGGGTGCGGGCCGAGGGTCAGCGACCCGGGTGGGGCTCGGGACCCAGGTGCGGGCCGGGGGCCGCCGTGCCGGCCAAGGGTCGGGGCCCCGGGTCGGGGTCAGGGCCGGGAGTCAGGGCACAGGTGCGGGCCGGAGTCGAGGCCCCCCAGGTATGGGTCAGGGCGGGGCGGGGGGTGGCGGGCCAAGGGTCGGGGTCCTGGTGTGGGTCGGGCCCCGGGTGAGGGTCAGGGCCTAGATGCGGGGTGCGGGCTGGGGTGCGAGCCGGAGGTCGGGGCCCCAGGTGCCCGCCGGGAGTCAGGGCCCAGGTGCGGGGTGCAGGCCGGGCCGGGAACCGGGCTGGCGTTAGAATCGCACCTCGCATAGCCTAGCGCAGGCCCTGACAGAGGAGCGCCCACTGGGCCCAATTTTGCGGTGCCTCTGTATGGAGGTCCTCGCCCTCACCCCTGCTGGCCCGCCTCTTCCGGCCCCTCGGGGAGCATTCTTTCTTTCCAGACTACTCTTGTATCTGTTAGCACACTCTTCCACCCTGCCCGCCAGTCGTTTCTGTGTTTTTTTTTTTTTTCCCCCCTTCAGTGCCTAGCTCGTGAAAGGTGATCACAAATCGCTGGAGAATTACTGTATTTTTTGGCTCCCCCCCCCCCACTTTTTCTCCACACTGCTCAGCATGGTGATCACGTTTTGGATGCTTAATAAATTCCCGTGGATAAATTTATTGAAGGTGGTTGTAGTGGGACCCACAGGGGAAAACTATAAAAGAGCAGGTTGGTATTGGCTGATGAAGGGCGCCTCACCTCCGTTGAGATTGGTTGTAACTTTTCCCCTGTGGATGGTGACTTACCGAATGATGGAGACAGTACTTGTTTGTTGCCATATCCTGGGAGAGCTGAGCTGGGTAAGGTACACAGAAGGTGCACAGCACACATTCATTGTTGAAGGAGGCTGTCTAGGCTCCTGGTAACTCATCTCCATGGTGCACCTAAGAAGGGTATTCAACTCGGGGAACATGGGTGTGGTCTTTGGGAGTTAGGACTCAGGTTGAACTTGCAGACTTCCGAGGGCTCTGCATATCGTTCCTCAAACTTCATTTCTTAACTCTTTCCAACAGGTTGGGTGTATTATTCTCCACAAGCTTTGCTTTATCATTTGCTGTCTCAACTTAATTTATAACGTGTGCCTCTGTGTTGAAAACCCTAATTGTGCTTAGAACTCTTTGGAATCCCACACACATCCCTGCGCTGTCTTGTCTAGCCTCCGCCTCCTCCTGTAGCTGGGGCAACGCTTCCACCTGTCTTGGACAGTATTTGGGGAAGGGACAGGGCTGTGAGGAGAGCCGGGTGGGAGCTGGGCTATGTGCTGCCTTACCCATGAAGTAGGCAGGTAGCGTCCCTGAACCCAGAAGGGAAGAAGTGAGTTAGCCAGGAGGTGAGCCTGCCTGACTACAGCAGTTGTCACCATACCCTCACACTTTTATCTTCTGTGTTAGTCCTGTCTCCCCACTGGAATGGAGAGCCCGGGAGGAGGTAGTGGGGATAGGCCTCCTCCTGTGGGTCTTGGTGTGGCACGGGGCTCCTGGAAGGTCAGAGTGCCTCAGAGTGGGGAAGGAGGAGGGACATTCAAGCAGGAATTGACCTGGTGGACCAGTAGCCAGGCTGCGTGGAAGCGGTTACACGTTCCCAATCAGGAACCAGTGGTTTTTTTCCTAATCTAATGCTGAAATTAATTTCTCTGCCTATGTAAAGGTAAATATGTTAATTGTCACCTACTTGTTAAGGGTATTAGAATGATTGGCATATTGGAAAGCATTTTCCGGTCAGAGGTGAAGAGCCTCCTGAAAATTCTTAACTCTCTTTGAGTATTGTTTTCACAAGTCACCATATTAGTAATTTAGTTACAGCTAAACTAACTCTGTCTCTTTCATAAATCAAAGCATTGATCTTATAAGGTTAGTGTTTCTTGTCCCTTAAAAGTATTGCTCACAATTTTAACTGCCAGCAAAGTAGGAAGACCCCAGAAGACACAAAATGAAAAGACTCTAGGAATATTCAGTGCAGGATACTCTTAATATTCCACCTGTCTTCTCAGGAGAAATAATAGCACAACTCTTAGGTAGTTGATGAGGAATGAGAGCCAGTTTCATTAGTAGTGAGGTGTGCTTGGTCTCAGAGAAATAGCCTGATGTTAGCATGGGACTGTCTTTTTTCCAACAAACATGTCTTGCACTAATACATATGCTTTATACCCATCCAGGACATATACATATAGGTATATTCATGCTTCCTACATACAATGCAGCTGGTGTTTTCTTTTCTTTTCTTTTCTCTTTTTTGAAAAAAACAAAAACAAAAACAAAAAACTCATTGCTACCCAACCCATTATGTTGATTTTACAGCGACTTCTTGCATTTTGAAAAACTCTGGTCTGAGAGAACTTGGAACCTGGCTGTGTGTGGGTGTGGGGAGGAACAGGGAAGATCGCCACCCCTAAAGCTGATTCAGGGTAATGGGGAGCTACAGGTTGACTGAGGGGAGGGACAGGCACGGAGAGAACAAAAGTGACAGTTGCACAGAGCACCCCCTTGTTGTAGCAAGTGAGTGAGGAGAAAGACCTTTCCATCCGGGTTCAGAAACCCAGGCTGAGAAATTCCTGTTCTTTCCAGAAGCCATTCTCTCCACTGGGCTTGAGTGACCCTTGTAAGATGCTGTCTCCCTGCCTCTGAACCTTTCAGGGCCTCCTCGTGGTCCTTAGGCCAAAGTCCGTATTCCTGAGTGTCTTTGAAGGCCATCTGGGTCAGGCCCTGCCTGACTCTGGCCCCGCTGGACTCTGGCCTCAGGCTCCTCCTGCCCTGAACTTTTTTTGCTCCCTGAACCGGACCCTCTGGGCCCAGGACCTTTTGCAGGGATGGTTTAGCCTGGGACATGGGTCCTAAACACCCCCGCCCCCCACTCAGCCTGTGGTCTCGGTGTAGATACCATGTCTTCTGGGACACTTCCTCTGACACCCTCGCCCCTCCTGTGTTTGGATTAGGGACTGATCCCGTGCTCCCTTGGCACCCCGCAAGTCTTTGAGATGTTTACCTGTTTGTACTTCCAGGCTGGCTTCTGCCTGGTAAAAGGCCTCCCATATAGTAGACACTCAAAAGCTTGTTGAGTAAATGAAGGAATTAAATCCTGGATATGGACGGACTCCAATAGCTCCTGACAGAGTGGGGTTCAGGGGCTGAGGGTGATGAAGAGGCTGCCCTGTGAGGTGCTGACCGCGCCCTTGATCTTTTGAAGGTGATTAGGATGACCGGTTTCATGAAGGGTCTCTACACAGACGCTGAGCTGAAGTCCGATAATGTTAAGGTAGGCTTGGGGCGGGGGGGTGTTGCCCCTCACCCTAACAAGTGGGTTTTCTGTAAGCTGTGAACTGGATGTGTGTTGTTTATATGCTGATGCGTGTTGAAATACAAGGTTGATTAATTCGTGAATTGTGGTATACCCTTTCTCATTTCATTTTCTTATTTTTGCCAACTGCGTATCATGCTAATTTTATCCACTGAGAAATGGAACTAGTGTTTTAAAGGTTCCTGCTAGCCTACTACCAGCTAAAATTAAAAGCTTTAATTAATTGTTTTTCTTTTGTTACAAAGAGTTAGTATTTCCAAATCTGACATGATATAAATAGTAACTGTGCCTGTTGAGCATACCGAGGATGGTGGAAACTTTTTTGGAAGTACTTTTTATTTGTATTTTAAATGGAAATCTTTCAGGATAAAGATGCAAAAATTAGCTTCCTTCAGAAGGCCATAGACGTGGTGGTGATGGTTTCAGGAGAGCCACTGTCCGCAAAACCAGCGCGGATCGTGGCAGGGCTCGAGCCTGAAAGAACAAACGAGCTGCTCCAGAGAATTGGAAAATGCTGTCTCAGCAAGGTAATGCGGAGGTGCCAGAGTTTAGACCCAGCAGTCCTGAAAGACAAGACGGGATGGTAGGCGACCGCAGGGTAGTGGGCAGTGTCTCAGGAAGGAGTGTTTGGTGGTGTCTGCCAAGTGCTGTGCTTTGGAGCCTCAGAGTTCCAGAAGGGGTGATTAAAACTATACAGTAAAACAAAGGTACGCCACGCACAAGTTCTTCAAGCGCTAAGTATGAACAAGGGAACTTCACAGACACTGGCTCTTGGGGCAGGGGCAGGGGCAGGGGGCAGCATGCCCGGCAGCCAAGCCCTGCCTGCCTTCTGCTTTTGGGCTTCCTTCCAGGGCAGGGTCTGGGGGCTGGAGGACCTGCTGTGCTGCTTCTTCGGGGCTTATGGGATGCTCCTGTTCTCTTCCTGCCTTTCCAGCCTCCAGTGTCTGCTTCTTTCCTTCCATTCCTTCCTTCCACTCTCCTCCCTCCCCCCTGCACTCTGTTCTTCTGGTCCCTCTTTCCCTCCTGGCTATTGACAGCAGAGCTGTGCCTCCTTCAAAGCAATCCTGAGTCTCTTGTATAGGGACTGATTCGCTGCTTCCTGAGATCCTCACTGTGGGTTGGAAACTTGGCATCTCTGCTTAGATCCAGCCTGGGCTGTCCTCACTAGGGACGCCGGAGGACATCTAGGTTTGGCGGTACCAACAGGGCATCTCCAGGGCCTTTCTTTTTTGTGGGAGCCGCATCACCCCTGAGGGCAGAGGGCATAGCTAATACAGCCTTTCGTGTGCCTGTTGGGTTGTGGGCTGGGGCTGACCTTCCGTGTTACCAAAATGGGAAAGAGGGTGGGTTTCAGCCCACATGGCAGGGGTGGGGGTGGGAGGTGGTGGCTCCAAGGAGGCCTCGAGAGAGTCTTGCCCTGGTCTGCATCCAGATCTCAGGCTCAGAGGCACGCAGCTGATTTTGCCAGTGCCCTGGCTTCCGTACCCAGTCCCCACCCCTGCATCCTTCCTGTTACTGCTCTTTCAAAACACATTTGACTCCCGTCTTCCCTGCTGAATCCTTTGCCAGCTTCCTGTTGCCTCTGGGCCCAGCCAGCTCTGGCATGGCTCACAAGCATCCTCAAGAGCTGTGGCTACGCCCTCCCCTCCAGTTCTTTCTTAGCTCCTGCACCCGTGCCTGCACCCTGAGGCCCCTTGCAGTGGTCAGGCCCCCTCATTTCTTTGTCTGGAAGCAGTGGGGGATTGGTTGCTGGTCCCGGAGCCCTGGCCTCTCCTCTCTCCCATGCTGGCTTAGGCACACTGATGTTTAACTGCTGCATCTGGCCTCTCCCCCGATACACAGGGTGTCCTCAACCTGGCCGTCTAGTGCCTGGGGAGTGATGGTCACTCAGTGCGTCCTCGTGGGATGAGTGTGTGAGCGCGTGGGATTCCTGCCTGGAGGTGTCCGAAGCTTCTGTGCAGAGTCAGGGATGCTGTGGAAGGGTTTTGGCATGTGATGGAGCTTGAGTTAGATCATTCTGTGAGGCCCCGTCAGTGCCGGGCCTCTGACCCTGTGAGAGGTGTAAGGCATCTGTGGGGTCGCGCACAGCGCTGTGCTGTCCTAGAACGACACACACGTCCACACTCGACAGCTTGGGGGATTGAAGTGCGATTCGCTTCGCTAGGGTCGGCTCTGCTGCTCACGTGTGAAGTGTCGGAGGGATGCTGTACTTGGTGGTGACAGCATTTCCTTCTAATGTTTTATCCTTTGACTTTCACGTCCACGTGTTTAACGTGTTTAGTGAGCCGTCTGTGAATGCAGATGCTCGCATTTGTCACTTGTGCTGATCTCATTTTCACTGGGTGTTTCATTTCCTCCCATTCGGCCCGCAAGCTCTCCAGCGACGAGGCGGTGAAGAGAGTGTTAGCTGGAGAGAAGGGGGACCTGAAGGGAAGGACCTCACTGACGTCAAAAGCTCAGGAATTGGACAATGAGAATGCACGAGAAGAAGAGCCCAGAGTTCATAAAGATAAAGAGGTGACTTGCAAATTGCACATATTCAAAAATGAAATAATGAGTCTTTTTATAGTTCAGGTGAAGACATTTGTGAGTGATATTGTTGTTTGACCTTCTTTCCAGGATAAAAGGAACTCTGAAATAAACGGGAGAAGTACAAGCAGAGATCAAAAACAGAAGGAAGAAGTGAGGGAAGAGAGCAAAGCGAAGGAGAACGACCGTGACGGACATAAAGATCCTGAGCGAGACAGGCACCGGGAGGGGGAGAGAGAGCGAGCCAGAAACCGGGCCAAGCAGGACAGAGACCTGGCCCGCGCGGGGGAGAAAGGGAGCGAGGGTGGAAAGGGGAAAGAGAGGGCGAAAGAGCGGGACAGGGAGCAGGAGCGGGCCGCCCGCGGCAGGGACAGGCGGAGGGCGCAGGCCGGGGGGCGCTCCCGAGGCCCGGGCAGGGAGAAGGCCAGCGAGCTCGGCGAGCCCGACAGAAAGGTAACGTCCCGCTTCAAAACCGCTGTCTCTAAGGAGACTCTGTGGTGTTCTCGAAGGTGTTTCCCGTCTTTGCCACAGCGCGATTGGGACTCTGCTTCTCCCTGGCACCGCGGTGAAGGGAAGCCGCTCGGGCATGCCCAGCAGAAACCCAAACCGACCCCAGTTTCTGCTGGGGCTCCGAGGTGCCCCGCTCTCGCCTCGGGCTGCGTGTGTGCATTGGGCTGTGTTCTGAAGACGGGGGCCCGTTCTGTAGCGGCATGAGGGGGTCCTTCCGAGCTGCCTCGGTCGTGTGCATGCTCCTGGGCACGGCTGAGTTTACCGAGGCTCAGGGCTCCTCTTTCAGTCTCGTGGGCGTTAGCAGATACATACAAGGCTTCTGTTACTGTAATTTTTGTTTAATTAAATTTTCAGGTAAATTTATGATTGGCCATAATTCACAGATTATGTTTGTGTTTGATTATGATTGTGTTTGTGGCCAAACACACAGAAAATGTGTTTGGTTTGTGTTTTCTAAATGTGCAAGTTACTCTTGGGGTCACTGTAGGTAGTTCAGGTCTCCATCAGGGCTGGCGCTGCTCACCCCTGTTCTTGTGGGGACAGCATATTATGCAGTGTCTCCGGAAGGCTGTGGAAATCTCTTGGTCTCCAGCTGCTAGGAAGGAGGGAGCGGGGGTCTGGAAAGGTTCAAGGTCCGCCCACGTGATGCAGCAGCGTGGGGAGGGGCGAGGGCTGCCCTGGCACTCGTGGCTCGTGCACCTGGCTCTGTGGCCTTGTGTCTCAGTATGTGACCATATCAGGGGGTGAGGGGCCACGGGACTGACCCCTAGAGAGCCTCATGGTCTCCCATGAATGCCCTACAGTAAGGGAACCTGTGAGACAGGTCACGAAAACCAGGCTTCCCTTAGGAGTTTTAGGAATAACAAAGGCGTTCCCCATCTTTTGTCTCTTTGTAGAGGTCTAAGAAAAAGCGTTTCGCACCAACCTGAATTGTCTGAGGCACTAGTGTGCTCTCGTGTATTTTCCTGGTGTGAGGCAGCCACCGAGTGGGATAGCCTCAGCCCTCCAGGTTTTCAGACAAAGTTTCCCATGCATTACGTTCACTAAAATTGCTGATGTTGTGAGGACTGTTTTTAATAGAAAGCTAATTCCAAAGAGAAGTTTTTATGGGGGGGGGGGTCTGTGGGATTCTGGAGCCTAGCGGCAGTGACAGCTTGGCTTCGAGCGTGTGAGACCAGGGCGCAGGGCCTGTGCCTCTGCTCAGAGCTGGTCCGCGTTCCCCCGAAGTCGGCTTTGCGTAGATCTTTCGTGGTGGTTTTGCTGGGTCAGCTCTTCTGTGGGGAGGCATCTGGGGGGCAGCGCTTGCCAGTGGCAAGGACACCCCATGTGGGCCACCTCCCAGGGAGGCTCTGGGGAGGCAGAGATTCCCTTCTAATCCGCCTCTGCTGGTCTTCACCCTGAGATCCCTTGATTCTCCTCCATTCAATTCCCATCTGGAAGAGACGATGCTGGGACCTTCTCAACCCCTCTCAGGCTGTGTATGAAGAGAAGGTGAAGTAGTAGGTGTGTGCAGAGTGTCAGGTGTGGCAGTAAAGGACCAGGTATCTGGGCAGTGTGTGCGGTGCCCCTCACCCTTAAGGGGATGGCGGGTTAGGCTGTGCACAGCCTGGCGCCTCCAGCAGAAGTTAGGGAAACGCATCAGTGTTGAACTCGACAGTTATCCCTTGCTTTTCAGTCTTCATGGGGCACAGGGTCTGAGGTCTAGTCTCTTCTAGTCCTTACATTAGGACATGTCGGTCAGAGACTTGACTGTAGCTATGAGCTAGGGCTCCCAAGTTTCCTGTACTTCCTTTCAGGAGTATTTCCCACCCCTTTTTTTTAACACCTCAAAATTTATTTATTTATTTATTTATTTATTTATTTATTTATTTATAAAATTTTTCTATTAACAAATAATGTATTATTTGTTTTAGGGGTACAGGTCTGTGATTCATCAGTCTTACACAATACACAGCATTCCCCACAATACATACCCTCCCCAGTGTCTATCACCCAGCCACCCCATCCCTCCCACCCCCCTCCACTCCAGCAACCCTCAGTTTGCTTCCTGAGATTAAGAGTCTATGGTTTGTTGTTTTCTCTGGTTTCGTCTTGTTTCATTTTTCCCTCCCTTCCCCTATGATCCTCTGCCTTGTTTCTCAAATTCCATGTATCAGTGAGATCATATGATAATTGTCTTTCTCTGATTGACTTATTTCGCTCAGCATAATATTCTCTAGTTCCATCCACGTCATTGCAAATGGCAAGATTTCATTCTTTTTGATGGCTGAGTAATATTCCAGTGTGTGTGTGTGTGTGTGTGTGTGTGTGTGTGTGTGTGTGTGTGTGTGTGTGTCTTCTTTATCCATTCCTCTGTTGATGGACATCTAGGCTCTTTCCATGGTTTGGCTATTGTGGTCATTACTGCTATAAACATTGGGGTGCAGGTGCCCCTTCGGATCACTACATTTGTATCTTTGGGGTAAATACCCAGTAGTGCAATTGCTGGGTTGTAGGGTAGCTCTATTTTCAACTTTTTGAGGAACCTCCATACTGTTTTCCAGAGTGGCTGCACCAGCTTCCATTCCCACCAATAGTGTAGGAGGGTTCCCCTTTCTCTGCACCCTCGGGAGTATTTCCTGATGGAGAGTCTGAAGCTTTTGCTTGACAAGAACCCTCCATTGGAAAGTGCCCCCCACCCTCCTGGCCCAGAATGAGCAGGGGCCATGTTTCCATGGTGGCTGGTAGTTTCTCCTGTTCACTCCTTCCCACACTTCCAGATTCCCCATGTTTAACTGGGCGTTTCCAAGAGGTTTGGCCTCAGGTGGGCATCCCATGTGTCCCACTATTCCATAGCTTCCTGGGAGGCGCTGCCCCGACCCCCTGTGCCCCCGGTCTGCCCCACCAGGAATGATCCAGACAGCCCTTTGGGATGAGGGCTGCATACCAGCTGCAGATACTCAGGCCTGGAGTGGGATGGATGCTCTTAAGGGAAGGGTGATCTCGCTGCTGCTCAGCTAGAATCATCTGGCACCTTGATGTGTTTTTGGATGTAACAGATTCGAATCATTCTAGAATGTGACAATTTTTTTTCTTAACAGTCCTCAAGCTCAGGGGAGGTGTCTAAAAAGCTGCCAGATGGATCTTTGAAAGATTCCAAAGCTGAAACAGAGGTAAACTTTAAAAAATAATTTCAAGGGACATAAACTGTGGCTGTGTTGACGTGGCGACTGCCATGCTGTGGTCTCTTCTAGTCTGTGGAGACCCGGGGGTGGGGATGTGGCGCAGGGTCACGCGTGAGCCCCGGCTTCTGTGCTGGGCTCCGGGCTTTCCTCATACACTTGTTTGACAGGTATGACATATGGGGTACAAAGGGATGGGGGAGTCATTTGGGAGAGGGTCTGGTGGAGCTTCAGATGAGTCTGGGAGAGGATCCAGTCACCAGGCAGACTGGGACAGCCGAGGTGCTGGAGGCATCCCTCTGAGCTCTGCTTGGCCTGTGTGGGGCCCCGTGGTGCGTGTCCTGTGGCTGGGGCGCAGCCGAGGCTGGGCCACATCATCTCCCTGTCTCCAGGCCGTGGAGGTTAGACTTAGCCCAACTTTTCCAAAGCACTTTGCATTTTAGAGAACGCGTCCAGGCAGCTGCAGGGAAGGACGGACCAGGTGTGGTGTGGAGGATGAGAGGCCAGTTAGGAGGGCATTATGGCAGGCTGAGCAAAACCTTGTGGCTGGTGTGTGCTCTGTTTAAACGTGTGTATGTTTGCACTCGGAATTGTCACAGATGCATGCGAGGAATTAGCATATAGCAAGGGAGATGGAGTTCTCAAAAACACATCTGATAAGACCGTGCTTCTTGGTGTGGTTGGTGGACTGCTGGGCTTTGGAGAGCTTTGCAGAAAGACGGATTCCCGAATTTAGAGTGAAGGAGGTCTGAGTGTCCTCTGTTCACCCTCAGGCCTGGGGTGCTGAGCCGTGCTCAGCTGGAATCCATTCCTCTTTAGCAGAGGGTGGTGTTCTGTTTCCTCTTTGTTCTTCCTTGAGCAGAGCTTGACTAGTAAATCTACTCAAGGCACTGCTGTGTCATGCATCAACTAATTCTTTTCCATTCTCTTTTCTTTAAGACTGAGATTTCCACTAGAGCATCCAGGTCAGTGACAACAAAACCATCAAAACGGCGATCCAAAAATTCAGTGGAAGGTACTGCAAATTTATCATATAAGGAGCTGAAAATATGGGTATTAATCACAGTATCTGGTAGAAAAAATATCCTGTGGCTAGAAGGCAGGTCTGCCATTGGGGGGATAAACAAAGACTATGTGAAAAGGGTGAAGATATGTCTCTCTCTCTCTCTCTCTCTCTCACACACACACAGACACACACACACGCACGCACACATCTGCGTGTACGTGTGTGAGCCCGTGACACCAGCGGCTGGTAGTAGCACCTCTTTGCTGGAGATCTGTTGCTATCTAAAAGATGTGATCGAATTTTAATTTTCCAGAAATGGTTATCAGTCACCCATGTTTCATTGACTCTTGTCATTTGAAGTGGTAGGCTGAAAGTAATCCTGACTCGGTGGCCAGCAAGAGCATCCTGCTCATGGGTGATGTTCATGCATTTAAAAAACAGCAGGACCGATCCTTGGGAGTCGTGCTACTGAGAGCTGAGGTTGAGGCGAACAGGCCTGGCCGGGGGTTTGCCCAAGAGTAGCACCGGTTCAGCCCGACTGACAAGCCGGACTGGGGGGTCTGTCCAGGGCGGGCAGGTACTGCTGGGGGCCGGTAGTGTTGCAGGTTTTCAGGTGAAGTGTGAGCTTACTTTGAGCGGTGGTAGCGTCTGAAACATTGTCCTTTTCCTAAATGGTAAGAGTTAGAGCAGTATGGCAGGAGTGCCGCAGTTGGGATTTCTCATTTGGATGTTACACTGAGACAGAAAGCCCCACTTCAGAATAGTCCGTGAGGCTTTCATGAGCTTGTCCCTCTGCGGGCATCTCTGGGGACAGGATGTTGGCGGTGTCGGCTGCAGGGTGTGCCGACCGTGCCCCCTACACCTTTTCCACGGTGTCCAAGGCTTGCTGCTGAGTCTGGGAGGGGAAAAACGAACAGTGCTGTCTCTCTTGAATTGCTAGTGAAATTGTGCATTTTTATGTGTGTAATTTGTATTGGCTCCTCGGGCTTGTCTGTTCTTTGTGGGATCCCTCACTGCTGTGAGCCGTTTCAGTGTTGTTCTTAATCGGCACAAGCTCACTGTATGTTAAGGACATCCGCCAGTTTTTAAATAAGTGTTTGTCCCCCCCCCCCCCGCCCCAGTTCATTTCTGTTCATTATGTTAGTTCCTGATTTGCCTGAGTGTTTAATTTTTATGCACTGGAAATGGCCAGTCTTTTTTTTTTTTTTTTTTTTGTAGTTTGTCCAGAGATTTGAGAGATGAAGATTTGTGTTTTGTCATGCGTTTATATATTTAATCTTTTTAGTTATTTCTTATTTTAATACATGGTGTAAGGTGATGCTCTCCATTTCAGAGTAACTCACCAAGTGTTCCAGAATCATTAATTTTAAGCCTTTTTATGTGCTTACTCTTCCAGATTATTTATAAAAGCGTTGAGTCAAAGAATCTCCCCCCCACAAACAGAACTAATAAATTTATCAGGATTGAGTTGGGCTCATGTTAAACTTACGCTTTTGTTATTTGGGGAAGATTGGATACTTCTGATTCCAAGTCAGTACGGGAGTCTCCTTACTTCTGATTCCAAGTCAGTACGGGAGTCTCCCTATGCATGTGCTGGGCTGTGTCTGTTAGTCACGGGTCACGACAGTTTGTTTTTGGTTTGTTTAGAGATGGCATCTTCTTTCCCTTCCCTGTTTCTTAGTGATGATTGTTGGAGCGTAGAAGCATCATGAACTGTGGTCACTGCACCGCAAACCCCACCTTGTGTTCAATCTTAGCCCGCAGTTCTTCTGTCGAGTTGTGATTTTTTTGTAAGCGGACAGTTGTTATTGTCTTTTTTCCTAATAACTCGGGGTGTGTGCATCCGAGTTTGCTGACGAGCTTGTGCCATAGGGCTCCTTTCCTGTGGCCTCTTAGAGAGAGAATTACAGAGGTTTGCAGGCTTTCTGAGACTAGCTTTCCCCAGCTGTCGATAAGCTCGTGGACTCTTTCCTTCCCTGCCGGCGAGCTGGGCGTGGACCTCACCGCACATCCTCACCCAGCGGGGCTGGTGCTCCACTCCGATCTTCTGCCTTACTGAAATGGGCCACGTTTGGGCGAATGTCCAGCATTCAGAAGGTGTAGGAGGCACAGGACCTCCATGTTCTGCCCGAGGGGAGAAGCCTTGCATTTATTAGAGTGCGGGGTGTCATGTTTGTTAAACATATTTAGAATCTTAAAGCTATTCTAGAATCTCCATAGAATCCAAAAAAGTTTCTTCATAAGAATATGATACTTTTGGCTTATTATTAAGTAGCACATTATAGCAGAATAATGTACTATGAGTGAGTATACTATGCAGCATTACAAATTAAGCTTAATACAAACTTTCGTTATGCAATTTCATATCAGGAAGAAGGGACTCTAGAACCACTGAAAATAGTCTTTCCCCTGAAAAAGAACATAACTCTTCCTACAGTAAAGCTAAGAAGGAACATGCCGGGAAACAGCTCGGTAAGGCGACGCAGGCCCCAGTCGAGGCCGCGAATGTCGGGGAGTCGGAACCTTTGCTTCCCTTTGACCACCGAGCTAGTGGAGCCCTGTGGGTGGAGCCCTGCTGGACATGGGGCCTGGACCCAGAGCGGAGCAGGGGCAGAAGGGCACGTAAGCCCTGCCTGCTGAGCTCTGGGGCCACCCCAGCCACCTGCCCATTTCCTACAAGTCAGTCACGGGCTGGGATTGTCCCCTTGAGTCTTCCTTTATTTGTTCTGCAGATATTTATGGCGTACCTACCCTTCTGGGGCACATAATGTGGAGGGACAAGTCAGATAATCAGGAGACCACAGGGTGTACACTTCCATGTTAGCGATGAGTCTTCTGATGGAAAAAGTAGCCAAGAGGGGTGGGGGTGTAGGGGCGGGTGCACGGGCAGAGGGGCTCTGAGGAGGGATGTCTGGACAGGGAGTTGACTAGGGTGAAGGAGGACATGCAGGTGTCCAGGAATGGGCAGGGGCCCTGAGCGGGCGCCAGGCTTGCCTATTTGAGTGGCAGGAGGCGCAGCAGTGAGGCTGGGCGGGGGGCGAAGGGATAGGAGAGGCCGCACGAACAGGCAGAGGCCCGAGGTCTGGGGCCACGGAGGCCGAGAGTTTTGTAGTGAGTGTGAGCAGAAGTCCTTGGAGGACAGTAAGCAGGACAGAGGCGTGATTTGACGGTGTTAGAAGCATCCCTTGTTCAGAGTGCAGAGAGGCAAGTGTAGAGGCTGGACAGCAGTTCATGTCCAGTTGAGACTGACGGCCGGGACCCGAGTGTCACTGGTGAGGATGTGTTTGACGGAAGGGATGACAGAGTCGCTGGGTGACTGGGTGGCCCTTGTTAGGAGAGGGCACAGCGAGAAGATCCGTGGAGGGGGTCTGGGCAGCCACGTGGTGCTGTTGCTGGAGTGCGAAGGCTTTGGGAGAAGCCAGTTGCTGGGATGGGGGACAACGCCACGCATTCAGTTTCCCACAGGTGGGGTTGAGGTGCCCGCGGTGCAGCCCAATGTGTGTGTCAGGACAAGAGCAGAGTGGGAGGCCTGCCATTGAGGGAGGGAGTTGGGGCAACTGAAGGTGAAATCGAAGAAGTTGGGGTTTTTTACATGGTGGTCTCTCCTGCCGTCACGTGAAGATCCAGGTGAAATTGGTGTAGGGGAGTGTGGAGATAAAGATGGTGGACCCCGGAGCCGGCCAGGACCCACGGGGTCCTGCTCGGAGAGCCCTGGGAGGGAGGAGCGGCGGTGGGGGGGCCTCCTGTGAGCCTGGTGTAAACCCCTGTTTGTCCCGACCAGAGCACCCGCGTACAAAAACCTCTACAGTGTTTTAATCTGTCGTTAACCATTTTATGTCAGGAAGAAAGGAAGATACTATTTCAGCTAAAATGTTAGATCCCATAGTGTCTGGATTAAATCATGAAGCAGATCAGGAAACTGCAACTTCAGAAATCGGTAAGAAAAAGGTATTCTTTAGTTTACATTCCTCACCACCTTGATAAGAAATATTTACCTCTCAGCATAGTTATATATTTTATTCTAACCAAGAGATAGTGAAGATCAGAAATGACTTATATGCCACTTGCTCTAATTTGCTAAATTATATGTTAAAGAATATTAACTCAGTTTTAGTTAACTTTTACATGCCTTTCTATGTGTAACTTACTTTCGCATCTAGATCAAGATGCTTTCTTTATCTTGCTGTTGGATTTTTGCAAAATGATGTGGGTGGTCAGAGAAATGGTCGTTCAGCTCTCCCATCCTGCTCTGCTGTGTTGTATTAAGAAAATGACCCATAATAAAGATTTTAAGGATTTTAACATCTTTGTATGTGAGCGAGTGCTTTCCCTTTAAGAAGTTGAGCTCGAGAGCAGCTGTGTTTGCCGGCTGCATCCTTGGCTCAGCAGGGGCACAGCCTAAAAGGCAGGCCTCTTGAAAAGTGGTCTTGACTGATCTTAGTCCAAGCAGGTCAGCCTTCCGTGGTTTATCTAGTTCCTCAGCGGTGTGGGGTGACCGACTGGGAGGTGCTGAACAGGAGCAGGATGGGTTCTTACTGAGGAACACTTCACCGCGGGCTTGCACGGTGCAGTTTGCCCACATCTTGTGAGAGTGTATGTGTTTCCTCCCTGCGGAAGCCTCTCCCAGCTGTGGGCCGGTCCAGCCCGGTCCGAGCAGGGAAGCACCAGGCAGTCCCTGTGCGGCAGGAGAGGGCCTGGGTCGTGCTGCCCGTGTGGGCAGATCTGCCTGCAGCCCAGACCAGTGGGAAGATCCCGTTCCTCACGTTTGCCCGCCTCTTGGCCTTGAGCTAGCTTCATGGGTACGTTCTCTGAGCCACAGTGACCTCGTGGTAGGTGGATCTAAAAACACCTGCCTTGAGACTCAGTGAGATCTGTCCATAAAGTGGCTGGTGTGTCCCACGTGTGCCTACTGGATCTGCTTTGTAGATCCCTCTTTAGTGACCGCGAGCCCTACGTCAGGTGAGGCATGTCATCCTGAGATGGTAACATGGATTTAAAATAAAGTGCAGTGGTTATTCAGACATGCATCCTCACTTTGTAGACACTAGGTACAGCTCAGTGTCCCGGGAGCCGGAACCCTGCAACACCCGTGGTTCTCAGTGGAGAGCTTGGCAGACATTCGAGCAGAGCCTGGTGCCACCTAGTGGCCAGAGAGGGGTCCTGCACCCTGTCCCCAGGTGGTCCTGGGACCGTTGGTGCCTCCTCCCCTCCCCCTAACATTGCATGGGTCCTGGGCCCCTGTCGTCACTGTCATGCCAGTCACAGATGTCACCTTGTGCTGCCAGCCATTTGACTTCTGGGATTCAGGGTTTGTCAGCGGTTGTCACAGTTGCTGATTTTCTCGTTGAGTGTGATTTCCAGACCCAGTGCCTGGATCGGTCAGGGAGCCTTTCCTCGCGCTTGCCCTTCACCTTGAGCTGGTGCTTGTAAGCTGCGCCGTGCCCCCGATGTGCCTGCAGACCTGGGCCCTGGCCAGCCTGCACCTGATGGCGGCCGTGTGCTTTGTCTTTCAGGGACGCTGAAGAGCTCAGCAGGGGAATTACCCACTTCTTTCTCAAACACGAACCATTTCTTCCCTGCCCCCTCGGAATGCCCGCTGTGTGATGAGCCTCATTCTCTTCACAGTTGTTTGACGGTCCGGGTTCTCCTGGAACCCTGTGCCTCCATGTGTCTTCACCTTGCTTGGGTTCCGCCACTCATATCTGTTTTATCGTGTAAAGTTTTTTATTATGAAAAATGCAGAGAAGTAGGAAGAGTGATGAGCACCCTTCAACCTCTCACACAGATTCAGTGGTTCTAATGTCTCGTCATACGTGCTTCATTTAGAGCCATGTATTTTTATGAATGATTTCAAAGTGTATTAAAACACCGTAACACTTCAGGGGCGCCTGGGTGGCTCAGTCATTAAGCGTCTGCCTTTGGCTCAGGTCATGGTCCCAGGGTCCTGGGATCAAGTCCCACATCGGGCTCCCTGCTCAGCGGGAGGCCTGCTTCTCCCTCCCCCACGCCCCCTGCTTGTGTTCCCTCTCTCGCTGGGTCTCTGTCAAATAAATGAATAAAGTCTTTAAAAAAAAAACACAAAAAACACCATAACACTTTAAATACTTCAGCCTGCAGCTCAAAGAACAAAGAAGACATGCTCAGACACAGCCACGTCACTGTTGTCTCCAGCAGGGTTGCCGTTCCCCAATAGTATTGAAATCTTAGTGACTCAAAAGTGTTATTTTTCAAAACCAGGATTCCATTAAGATGAACACACTGTACATTTTTTATTCTTTTTTTTGTCTTTTTAAATGACTCGAATCTCAACAGCCCCCCCCCCACCGTGCACCCTCTGTGCGCCCACCTTGCCCTTTTAGTCTCACACACTGGCTTTGGAAGAGATGAGGTTGCTTGTCTTGTAGAATGTTCCACCCTCTGGACACGTCCATTTCCTTGTGATGTTGCTTCACTTATGACATTCCTCTCTCCCCCGCTTCTCCCCCTGTGTCTGTTTGATCTAAAGTCCTCATTAGATTTGGGTTGGAACATCTGGCTTCGCTCTGACCCCTACATAGGCAAAGCTGTGCCTTTATCTTGTGTCCTGTCTGGATACACTAGTGTTTTGCATCCCATAACAGGTTGCTGAGACTGATCGCTGGGCCAGGTGGAGCCCCTCATTTTAAGGCCTGGTTATTCGTTCGCATTTACACTTGGATGTCGTTAGCACCTCTGTGCTACTAAAATTTGCACAGCACACGGGCATAGTGGGAAGCTGCTTGCGGCTGTGTTGTGGGCTGTACCTGGTGAGTTTCAGGGATGGTAACTGACAGAGGGGCACTTGGCCAGGCACAGCGCTCCCTGCTTTATAAAGCACAGGATCTCATTACAATAGCACCATAAGCTGGGGGCAAAATGGCTCCGAAGAGGCGAGGAGCCTGCTCAAGGTGCGGCACTTGGGGGCCCTGGAACTTAGGAAATCAGGACGCCAAGGCCCGTATCCTTACCTGCCAGGTTCATTCATTACGGATAATTCAGACAACAGATTTTTTTGCCAGTTCATAATAATTTTTATTTTTTATGGGTGTATTATTTATTTTCTTTAAAGCTGTTATTTGGCAGACTGGTTAGTCTGTCCTCTATGATTAAGAATTGATTGTATATTATTAGAATTAGTATTATTATTATAGTATGTATTATTATTAGTATTATTAGTTATAGCTTTTTTCTGTTGTGTTTGTGTGTATCAGAGTTTTAGTAAACTTTAAGAATATTAGGAAAAATGTTAAAACAACCATCATAGGCCTCTCCAAAAAAAAAAAAAAGAACGTCACTAGACGTTTGAAGACAGGAAATGGTGCAGAGTGTCATCAGTCCCCTCCAGCTTTGGACAGAAGGTGTTGGATTTGAAAGTTACTTATTGCGCTGGTAGGTTTTGAACAGTGTAGGAAATTTTTGACATTTTCAAATAAAATGTAACAATCTAAAATTCTTGCATGTTTTCTTTTAAAATAGATAATCTACAGTTGCCAAGCTTATTTTATTTTTACATTTGTTTTAGAATTTAGTATTTCATATTGATTCTTTGGCTACCTTAGATGTCATAAATAATTACTTGAATCAGGCTGTTTAAATTATCATTTTTATAGATTAAAAAAATTTCCTTAGAAAATTATGTCATCTACTGTATGAAGTTCATTACATAAATTCAGTTCTTTGATGGCTAATGATAGGTTGATTCTGATATAAACTGTTTATTTGAATGCTTTTAAGAAATTATAAGATTGTATTTCAGGAAAGGGGACATTTTTCTAACTTTATTTTTGTCTCCTGGTTTCATTTTAGAGTGGGGGTCCTTTAGTGATGGGTTAGTTTTCTACCCTGAGTCCTACCACATTAAAAATCTTTTCCTCCAGCACCTCCTTGCTCCCCCCTTATTTTTAATATAAAAAATGTTTTATTTCTCAGGTCTTAGATATTTTTTCTATTTTTATAGACATTGGCCCATTAGTCAGTAGTTCCACGAGTTCGGGAGCTTTCAACATGTCTAGGATTATGGACTATGCCAGAGATACTTTTCTTTTCCTCCTGCTTTGCTGAAATTGTCACCTATCTGCAGCTTCTCAGCTGGGCCTGGCTGCAGTGGGGAGGTGGGTGGAGACAGGTAGCGTCAGGAAGGTTCTGGAAATGGGGGTGCAGCGGCCAGTTTGCTTTGGCTGTGGGGACCCCCAACCTCCTCCTGGGCTGAGTGAGCATGGGGTCTTCTCATATTCTGGGCACCCCTTCCCTCTCCTGATCCCACAGCCGCACCTGGGAGGAACGTTCTTGGTGTGAGTTCTCAAAAGCTGCCTTTGGTCAGTCTTCTGTAAGCTCGCAGTGTGGGAGAGTGTGGATGAGTGTGTGTGCTCTCTGTTAATGAAGCCATAGAGGCCCAGCCTGCCGTGTACATCATAATGACTCATTTTAAACTGTTTTCTGCCAGGAACAAAAGAAGCTAATACTAACTCAGCTAGTGTTTCAGATGAGAATTCCGCTAGTCTGTGGCGTGAGAACGTTGAGCCAGAACCAGCAGTGAAGCAGAAAGGTAAGGACACCCTCTCTTCACTCCTTTCCTGGTGAGGGAGCCTGAGCCGCTCCACACGTGTACTGGGGGCACCTCTCTCCCCAGAGGGTGGCAGCCAGAGCTGCAGGGCCCCGTCGGCTCTTTGACGCACACGGGGTCCAGTCTCTGGGTTTTCACACCAACAGGACCAGATGTGGTGAAGGACCCCTTTTCGCCCTTTTACATCAGCTAGGGTAGGGCACGCTGTCCCTGTATGGCGGCCTCTCCCGGGTCCCCAGCGCTCTTTCGGAGGTAACGTGTGGAGCCCAGGTGGCGTCGGAAGGCCCAGAAACCAGCTTCAGAGTCAGTGCTGGGGAGTCCCGCGGGCCGAGCCTTACACCACTCAGATTTCACCCAGATTTCATGTTCAAAGGGGACTTCGAGGCAGCTTGAAACACCATCCCGACCCGGTGTTTCTATCTGTCATGTTTTCTGGGTGTCTGAAGTTGTGCCTCGGTGAGATTCTGCTCTTGGCCTAATATTCTCAGCACTTACACTGTGTTGAAGGACACATTTGGCATTTGGCGGGGCCTGGAGCTCCTCGCAGGCTTGGCAGGGTGCTGGTGCCCCAGAGCCAGCGCTTGTGGGGAGGGCTGGTGCTTGTCAGTGTGTGTGCACTGAAATGTTTGCTGACGGCCTGCTGTGTGCAGTGAGTGCCCCAGTGAGCAGAGCCAGCCTGGAGGACGCCCTTTGCGGTGGTCTGGGCGGCCAGGGACTTAGCCCCGGGGTGAGGTTGGAGAGAGCCTTCAGGCGGGGAGCGGAGGAGCTGGGCGGGGGGTGGGGGGCAGCCCCTGCGGGAGACCCGTGCTGCTGTTGGCGTGAGCGGCTCGGTCACGTGTGGGTCACGTCAGTTTGGGAGGCTTAGTGAGTGGTCCATGAGAGAGTGGCCTGGGCTGGAGTGGGCGGTGGGGGGACGGGCAGGTCCCAGGGTGCTTCAGGCAAGGGCTTTACCAGAGATGGCATGTGAGTGGCCAGGGGTCTGGTTGCCAGGGCGAGGCAAAGAGGCTGAGCTGGTGAAGGGTCCAGAGAAGACCTGAGTGTCTGTGAGGCAGGAGCCCCCGCCAAAGGGTGGGAGACCCCATCTGTGAAGGGGGGGCCTGCTGTGTGCACTGTCCATCTGGGTGTCGGGCTTGAGATCCAGCAGCTGCACATGAACCCGCAGTCTGTCCCCAACACTGATGGTGTGAGACTGGAGGAGACCCCAGGGGTCTGGAATCCAGGGCTCCAGGCTGCACAGCGGCTGCCACCCGCTGGGCTCTGCCAAGTGCACTCCAGGTGGCATGGCATGAAGGAGAGGCTCTGCTGCCCAGGGTCGGGTCCAAGCCCTCACTGCTGTCACCCCATCCTTCTAGTGGCGCTATCTAGAAACATGATTGACAGGCCCTCCTAACCCGCAGTTTGTCGGGCTCTTTGGGAGCTGGGCCTGTCCTCTGCTCTGTGCAGTGTGACCTCTGGGAGGTTCCTGTGTTCTGTACACATAGGTCCTGTAGGGCCCCCCACTTCCCTTTGCCCAGAAGGGCCAGAGTTCTGAAGTCTGCGCCAGCAGACAGACTGAGGTGTCTGAGGAGCGCTGTGTGTCCTCAGGGTAACCTGGGCCCAGTCCTCGTGCATGTGAAAGGTCCCTGTGTGGAGGTGGGGCTGTGGTTTATGGGGGGCTGCACAGCACCTCCCGGGGGTCCTTGGCTCCGACTTGGACCCATGCTGTTTTGGCACTTCTGCAGATGTGGTCCCGCATTTCAGGTGCGTCAGGCAGAGAGTATCTTCTGTGACCTTGAGTCTCCCCTCCCTACAGTGCTCCCGCTCATTTCCTGGTGGCCACATAGGTCCCATTTGTCCCTAAAACGCAGCACTGGAAGGAGGAGGTAGGCCCATGGGGAGCTGGAGAAATGTCCTCGTTCAGGAGCTGATGGAAGAGCCGTTGCTGACAAGCTAGGGAGGGAGGGCCCTGGTTGCTGTCACCCCGTCACGAAAAGGGCGTCACACCTTCTCGTCTCTCATGCTCCCTGGCTTATCAGTTGTTGCCTCATCTCGAATCTCTCTCATTTATGTCTGTGACCTGCTTTCTTCATACTCCTGTTCCCTCTTTTCATTAATAGCATTTTAGAATTCATAGTGTGCTTTGTTCTTTGTCTTTCGATCTTTGAAAATAAAGTGATAGCAGTGGGATCCTAGGAAAGTCTCTGTGTTCCCTGACAGGTCTGCCGTTACTTAGTTTGTGTTTTTCCCTAGTCCTGCTACTTGATACACAGAGCTTTACCAACGCAGAAGTCGGTTTTCTGATGTCCTTTTTTTTTCTTTTTTTTTGCAGGCGGCTCCCCTAGTGATGCAGGTGAGGAACGGCCTGAACTAAGTATATTTGGTATAAATCATGCGTGTGCGTGTGCGTGTAGACACTAACATGTACTGTCAGATTTGTTTTACACAGTGAGTTAGTGAAGGTAATTGAAGGAAATATAACTCTACCACTTTAAGATTTAATTTATATATCTTATGTTCCAGAAGAATGTATTACGATTCTTTCCAGAATAAAAAGTATATTTCTAAATTCGAAGTCTGATTTTTCTAAATTACAAAGTCTGATTTCTAAAACACAAAGCCCTTTTACTTAAAAGGCAGGAGTAAATTTAATTGCCTTAACAGTTAGGCGTTGTTACTTACTGATTAAATCTTTTTATTAAAATGAAGAAAGCTTTATTTATACCCAAAGTATAAAGTTTTTTAAATGCAGAAAAATATCAAGAAGGAAATGAAAAACACTGTTTCTAACCTAAATGAATGTCCTTCTAGAACGCCCGTTGTGTATGTGTGTGTGTGTTATTAGATACGTTACGGTCCTTAGTTACGTGTTAGGACGGTGACACTGTTTTATGCAAAGGGTCTGGCGAGTAACTGCCAGAGTCTGCTGGCGTGACCCACCATCGTCACTAACACAAGTGGTGGTTGGTGAACAGCTTGACACACAGGATCACACGCGTCCATCCCTCTTGGGTTGTATTTCCTTTATGTTAAATTGCTTGACTGGATCAACCTACCTTTTGAATTCTATTTCTTGAGAAATTGAACCAGTTTGTATTTCCAGGGTTTGAGTGCACCCATCTCCCCAGATCTTCACCACATCTAGATACAAAATGTGTTTTATCTTCATGAAAATGATAGATGAATAAAGTTCATATATATTTGCGATTATTTAATTGCTGTCTTTTCAAATACTTATTACCTGTTTGTGTTTCTTCCTTTGTGAATTGCTCACTGGATTATCATGGTTCAGAAGGAGAAGGGGGACCTTCTGGCCCAGAGAAGCCCGAGGTGTCTGAGAGTTCTGAGCTGCCGAGTGAGCTTCCAGCCAACATCAGGTCCGTGGGCTCCTGTCCAATGCCCAGGGCGCTGCCTGCTTCTCTCTGCACCTTCTGCAGTTTGTTTAGTGCTTAAGCTCAATTATGAGGAAATACGTGTACAAAGAAAGCAGAAACCATTTATTTAATTTTCCTATATTGGGTATAAGTTACTACACGTAGGACATTTTAAAGATTTAGGGAAATTCATAATTATGGTAAATTAAGTTTTGATTACTGAGAGTTCATGATTCCTTTTTGAGCCTTAAAATTAATGGAAACATAAGATTAAGAGACAGATACATTTAAACCTCTGGGATTAATGGAATGTTCTTAGCATTCTGCAGACTGTGTCCCGGCTAGCATGTTGACGGTGGGAAATTAGCAGTAACATTGACCTGGGTTTTCTGTCGTGCACTTTTAGTAAATGTGCAAGTGTGTCATATCC